AGGGGTAGCAAACAGGCAAGACGACCATATTGGAGTCCAATAAGAAAACATTTCAAGTGGAAGAATATTCGAGGAATTTTTTGCTGGGGCAACTTGGGCCAAAACATTATGTATAAGAGAAGAAAGAAATTTTAATATATCGAAATTCTTTAATTAATTTTATTACAATTTTTAAAATTTATGAAAAAAAGAAAAATAAAAATATATTTTTCATATAAAAATATTTTCAAAAATTATTTTATTTTTATTTAAAAATAAAATATTTTCTTTTGTTTTTATTTTATTTTTCTTTTGTTTTTATTTTATTTTTAAATAAAAACAAAAGTATTTAAAAAAAATATTTTTTGATCATTTTTAACAATATTCTTAAAATATTTTAAGAGAATTTTATAAATTTAAAAGTTCTTGATTTTTCAAAATATGTTTAATAACACCTCGGAAATTTTAATTTACACTAAAACATATTCAATTTAATTACCCGCAAGTTAAAAGATTTAACGAGTTCGGTCAAAACAAATCCCAAAACAATTGTCGATTGATAACAAAAGTAGAATGACAACAATGCAAATTGTTGAACAATCAGGAAACATCAACTGACTAATTGACTCAAATGTTGATTAAATCAATTGAAAATCATGTATAAATTATGTATAAATCACAAGTCCTTAGAGAGAGGCTGGGCCCATTGCACAATTTAATGCATTCATTTGGCCAAATGTCATTTGGCTCAAACCCCAAGATGCGCAAAGAAAATGTGAGCGAAACGCACGTCTTGTATATTTATATACCCTGTACTTGAACAGGGTGTGAGTGGGGTATAACTAAGTGTCAATGCTGTTTGCATACTATAAATATATATATATAAATATTATACTTATTATCTCTTTTGGAAAAGTAGCTGAAATGCTAATTTATTTATTTTTTATAAATGTTGACCAAAAAACAAAACTTGATAGGTGGGCTCTTATTTGGAAGACTACAGTAATTTTAAAAGTTTGAAGTACTATCTATAAAAGTATAGCTACCCATATCATTTAAATCTTAGTTTCAGTCTTATTAATGAAATATATCTTATTCACTTACTAATCTTAATTTTAACATTTTTAATTGTATTTTTGACTCATTAGCCATGTTTTTTATTATCAAATTGAACTCATTGATCTCGAGAAGTATATTCGCTAGAGTCCAAAAATTTGGTATATAGAATCTATAACAGCATACATATGAAAAAATAAGATTTTTAGTTTCCAAGTAAGACTTCAGTCTACTATATCTTTAATAAAACTTGTCATATTACAGCACATCTTCGAGTCGGTCTCTTCGCATTCTTCTATCAATTTTAATATTTTATTTTATGTGATATCCGATGCGACAGCAATTTTAATGCATATTTAATGCAATTTTTAAGAGCCAACGCATTATATGGAGTTATTTGGGCTTTTACGGCAAATATAAACATAGAAAACAGAATGAAAATTCGCATGCGACAAGAATTTCAAATGAAACCCGAACAAAAAAGAAAACAATTTTCATACAAATTGCCAAAATGTTTGCGAAAATCCAAATTGTTTCAGCGTATTGTTTTGATGAGCTTTCTTTTCCTTTCTTTTTTTTGGAATATATTTTTTTTTGGGTTTTTGGTTTTCGGTTTCAGTCGATAATAAAGTTCCATAAATTGTGCGGCGCCTGCAAATATGCAACGGAAATTGAGAAAGCCACACGACAACAATATCAAGTAAAAGCAACCCCCACGCAGGACGCAAGACGCAGGACGCAGGAGCTCCCGCACTCTCGTGCTGATGCTTTTTTATAGGCTGCCTGGGGAGTGCTTGGGCGTGTGTCGCTTATCCTGCGGCTAAGCTGGCAGAGCTGGAGTTGGGGCGTGCTCTACTCGCTTGTCAATGCATTTCGTCTTTTTGATAATATCAAAAACTCATTTGCCTGGGCCACTTGGCCGGGTATATCACTCCGATTTAGTAGTTAGCTGGCTGGCTGCTGCTGCTGCTGCTTGCAGCCGATGATTTATTATCTGGCCCCCGCCCCGTGCCGCCATTCATGCGTCATCAACTTGTGCATAAACAAGACGCAAGGACCATTAGGCAAACGTTGCAGCAGCCCCAAGCTGTTGCAGCCACATTTCGAGCGCATAAAAAACATTTTAAATGAATTAAGCTTTGCTCATTTCCTAAACAATTTAACAATTTAACAATTATGCGCGCAAAATATTAATTAAAAGCCACTCGCCAAAAAGCCAAATGTAGCTGAATCTGCATGCAGCCGAGAGGAGCTGCGTATCTCACGGATGCGTGACCACCAAATAAACGCGCTTAACATAAATCTACAAAAACCATAAACAAAAAATGCGAAAAAAAATTACATTTAGTTGTTTTAGTTGCAGTTGAATGGAAAAATGTGCGGTCGCTCGGAAAATTAATTGTAATGCATTTAAAGTGCAATTGTTAAATTATTCGCTTTTCAGCCACAACTACAACAAGAACAACAACGAAAAGAACTCCATAAAATTTAACAAATTGCAAAACATTTTCCACATAACATATGTGCACAGAACAATGAATAAAAAAATAGTGAAGCACTTCGAGTGGGGGCGTGGCGAGTGTATGAAACATTAGTCAACAAGTTTAGGGAGCTAGGTCGAAGCTAGTCGCAGGCTAGATACGCTTACAGATTAGAGGAATTTGACGAAAAAAGTTCTCCTTAAAGAAATCTTCTAGAAGAAGTTCAAGAAGATTTTATATAATTTATTTATTTTATTCTTAAAGAAATCTTCTAAAACTTAAGCTTAATAGAGTTATGTAGATAGAGGCTGGCCGCAGGTTAAATCATATAGTAGATAAAAAAAATTTCTGTAATGGAATCTTCCCATAATGAAACCATAAAGAGAAAAGAGAAGAAGTGAAGGGAGGGGAAGAAAAAGTTAAGCCGAATTTACTCGCATACTTGAGACGCTTACAGTTTAGAGACAATTGAGGGGAAAATGTCACTGTAATGAAATCGTCTAGAGGATGTTGAAGAAATTGTATATAAAAACATGTCCTTAAAGAATCCTTAAGAGTCCATTATAGAGTCTATAACATAATATTTATCGAAAACTGTTCATACATTTTACACTGATCTTAAGTTAGAATCTCAAAAAACATAAGAGTTTATCAAAATAACTTTTCATAATTATTTATTCATTAGGAAAAACTTGAATGCTTCTTAATTTCTTAACTTTTTATATAATTTTATAAAATCTTTATCAAAGTCTATGACTTGGGCTATTTCTAATGTACCCCTCATACGCTATAAAATGAACATTGAAACAAAATAATAATATAATGCAAATAAAAAGCTATTCAAATGAAAATTACATGCTAATATTTCAGAAACAGAAATACCATTTAATAAATACTAATTAAAAGCTATCAACTATATTTGGTAACATTTGTCTGCTAGAGAGATTGGGAGCTGATGGGGCGAGAAATGTTTCCCCACTGAGGTTTTGCCTTATCAATAAATCAAAAGTTTATAGTTTGGAATGATTCATTTGATATGAACTTCATAGCTCTAGAGATAAAAATATGACTCACGGAGTGCAAGCCCAATTGCTTACGAATAAATATTGTTATATAGGCTAATGGGGCGTATGAGTAATTGGCCTTTGACATTTAGTCCAACTTGAGATACAAAGTATAGAAGAGCTATAACAACTAAGCTTTCCGCTTTGTACCTCTATAAATAACAATTATTTTGGCATTCTTATTGAGGGTGGTATGAATTAAACATAAATCTAAACGAAAAAGTAAAATCTTAAAAGGAAAACTTAATTTAATATAATTGAAATGAATAAACATTCTTTTTGATGGCACTGTAATTGCTGAGACTTTCCTGCAAATATTCTATATAAATTAAATTAATTTCGTAAAAGATAGCATGCAAAAGTTATAATACGGCCATAATACGATACGATTGAGCTGATAAAGACGTCATTGAAGGAGGAGCTAAGCAAGACAGAAAAATTATTTTTGACAATGCTTCGTGAATGGTGCAAGTATAACATAAGCTATATTATCTAATGGAGTTTACTTTGAAGAATATAAAATAGATATAACAAATTAAATAATTTTTTTAAAAACTTTTAGAGGTTATGGAAAAATTAAATGTTTAAATATTTGTCAAAGAAAAATGGCTGACCAAAATTAACTAAACATATAACTTCTTGGGAAAGCAGCTTGCAAATACTTTTTAAACAGACCTCGCATGTCAAGCAGGGTTCTGGTTTCTCGTTGGAATACAAAAAAGAAGATAATAAATATATATAATAATATATCCATATATCCATATCTATTGATATACCTAGGCATAAATATATTGATTTAAACTCAATTTTTTACAAAAACTAATTATTTTTATTACTTATAAATAATAGAAATACAATATTTGTTTTACAAAATAATACTTCAGTTGCGCTTTTCCATCTTCATTTCTTAATTTTCACTCTTTAGTTTTACAAATTTTACAACTCAATTTGTGTTTAAGATAAAAATAGTTGTGGGACAATTTTTGTGCGAGTTTTGATATAAATGACAAGAGCTTAAAAAACATGACTAGATGATAAGATGATAAATGATATAGTATGTATATATATAATATATTTTATTGACTAATGCATTTCGTACTGATCGGTAAGCGTTTGTCGGTTGCAGCCAATGTGCTCTGTGTAAGCGAAGCGTTTTGCATTTTTGGCTTGGTGCAATTTTGTTTTTTTTTTATTTCCTTATTCGTTTTCCATTTTTTGTTTGGCTACAAAAATACTTTTTATACAATACTTGAGGCTCAAAGGCGCTTAACTGTAAACTATGTACTTCTCGTAGTTATATATATATACATATATATGTATAAAAAGTGTCTATACACATCTATAGTCACATAGATATATATGTATATATATATATATAGGTGTAAGTGTATGTGTGTATGTGTCTGTGTGTGTCTCTATCTATAGGTTGTATATATTGTATATGTATATATGCATGTATAAATAGAATTTGGTTAATCTCAATAATTAGGCCACTATAAAAAAGCATTCGCCTTCACCAGCGATTGACGTAGAACTGATTAATGCCCATTACGTGCTTCTCCTCATGGTACTTCTGCAGGATATGTGTGATAACGGAGGTTGTGTCATTATCGCCGCGCCAGACGCGTATCGCATTCTCGTTTTCCAGTATGGCCAAAAAGGCTAAATGAGAGAAGAAAATGATATAAGATAGAATGAGATCCGACTAAGATATACCTTGAAACTCGAGCCGTACAAAATCGTATTAAATGCGTATTTTCTTTTCGAAAATCTACTAGCTCTAAAACATAACATATGCCCGACTATCGGATATATTATTTTCTATCAGCTCCATGTAATACAAACAAGATGCAAGAGCGACGAATGCCGCCTGGTCTGTTTCTTATACATTTAAAGACTGCATAAAAATACTATCTAGCTGATTAATGCAAATACTTGTACTATATATACTATATTGCATACATATTTATACTACCAATAATCCTCTATGCTATTCATAGATAGTTTCATTTACAATCATTTCTACATTTGGTATAGATTTCATATATATCACAACATACACCTGCTGTCTATAGCTATCTCTAATTTCTATACTATATTAGTAATACATACATTATCTATTTATCAATAGATTACCTATATAGCCGTATATAAACCTATTCTCTATACTATTGAGCTCTATGCAAACATATATCTCTAAATACACATACCCAAAAAGGTTTTTGGATTGCTGAGCGTCAATTGGACCTGCGGCATTTCAAGTATTACTTTAAGTATTGGAGAATCGGGAGCCAGACCCTCTCGCAGCTCAATGACACTGCCCGAGCGGTTTTCGCACAGCCAGTCACAGGCGGAGGCCTTATTATTGCCCGTCTTCTTAAGCGCCGCCACGACTGCATTATATTCAAAGCCCATGTCTGTCAAGGATTCTACAATCTCCTCATTTGGCGGCGTATCGCGGTGGCTATAAATGCGCACAATTTGCAAAAGGGCAGCCGTGTTCTCAATCGTCTCCTAAAAGAGAGAGGGAAGTATAAGTGTATATATGGTATAAATTTACATAGTCTAAAGGGTTACATTATCGGTAACAATAGTTGAGGGCGATATGGAGGAGACGCTGTGCTGCATATTCATAGGCATCAGCGGCGACGGTGAGCCATCCTCCTCTCTTTGATTCTGTATGAGCCACTCCAAAGTTGTTGAATAGATGCCATTATTTGAGCGCAAAGCCTGGTCAGAAACCTCTCGGGTGAAGCCCATATCAATGAGGCACTGCAGCGTATCCGCCTGATGATTGCGACGATTGACCAAACGTTGCTTTAGCATGCTGATTAAGCGAGGTGCAAATGGCCCAGCGCCAATTATAGCAGCCGAAGCCTGGGCGAGAGAGATGAGTACCTTGCGTACATCATATTGGATCTATAACAAGATTATGTATAGAGATTTATCCACAAAAGATTCTGCTGTCCACTTACATTCGACTGCTGAAAGATCTCATTGATATCGATGATTGGCAGCGCGTTAGTATTGGAGTGCACAAAGCGTGTTGCACTCTCTAGCAGCGCCTCATTTGGTCCTGGCACTTCACGAGTTCGTGTCACCGTTTGTGGCAAAGTGTTTCGCCTGGGTGACAAGATGAACGTCTCATTGTCGCGCACATGAAGCTGTGCAAGTGTTTGGGTTTCGTTCAATTCCCCTCCCCAGTATTCCGCTTTATAGAGACGATAACGTGGATTCAAATGTCGGACATCGGGCGCAAATAACTGTATCGACTCAGGATCATCGCTCAACTCCAAGATAACTTCACTTTTAAGATCATTCAGGCGCTTGTTGATGTCAGTTTTAAAGATGAGGACACGGGAACTAGGACAGATAACACGCACCGTTATTGTTGCGCCAGCTTTGCCCACATCCTGATCATCAGCAATCGCCGATGAAGCTGACGCGAGCCTAGCATGATTTTTCCTATAAAAAGAGAAAACACATTCAAGCAATAGGTTATCAACTATGGTGCACTGCATCGCACTGACCTGAGAAACAAACTTCGCAATTTTTGCATAGTTTGTTTTATGGTGTTATTTTTTTGTTTGTGGGTTCCAACGGAGAATTTGGATGAAACAAAATTAAAAAAAATAAGAATTATTAGTTCACAGCAAACGTTTATTTACTTGGCAACTTACGCATTCGCCTGCTGCTCCGCATGCCTTGCCTTCTGCTCCTGCTGCAGCTGCAACTCCAATTGAATTCGCCGCCTGCGCGCCGGCGAGGGAGTGCGCAAAACGCAAATGCCGCCGCCGACTGCGACGCCAACGTCAACGACATCCGTTTGCGTCTCCATCTCCGTCGTCTGCACCTGACTGCTGCGCAGGCTAAGGCTGCTGCTGCCTGCATCACTGTTGCTCCCGCTGGCGCTGGTGCTGCCTCTGCTGCTGATGGCAGTACGTCGACTGGAATCGGAATTTGTTTCGGTTTCGGTTGCGTTGCCGCGTTGTTTGTTGCGTGCTAACCACTTGGCGCGCTTCTCATTGAACTTTTCGCGCATCCAGGGTATCATATTGTGGCTGCCATCAAGTCCGTTTTAGGTGCTTTTATATTACATTTTGTTTCAATTTTTTTTCAGCAGCGTTTTTTCCAATTCACTCAAAATACAAATAAACTGCACAGCTGTTTGTCAGCGTTGCCACATTAGTTGATTAGTTGTGGGCCGCATTCATTTTGAATTGTGGTCAATGTTACGTTCCACATAAAATTAAACTGAACAACCAGCATTTTTAAGCAGTTGTATTTATTAGTTTGCTAATTCTTTTAAAAATCCACTTTAAAATGTATTAGTTACTCCATTAAGAAAAAAACAATATCATAAATTCAAATATGTCTGATTCATACGATTTGTTCTGCGTCTACGTCTTCACGTGATTGGCCAGCGATATAAAACGGCAAAGCAACTCTGCTTCTTTTTTGGCTTCTCTTTTATTATCTACACACTCACACACACACGCGTATCGGTCGTTGCGGTTCTTGGCATATTAATTTGTAGAACGCGCAAATCAAATTGTAAAACGGAAACCGAAAATGAATACACACTAGGAAAAGTAAAGAAAAAAAAACAACACTACGCAATTTCATCAATGCAGTGCGCGCGTCCATCATATGGTATATTAATAATTAAATGAAAACGGATTTTTGTTGTGCATGGCGTGCGTCAGTCAGCAACCGAGTCACTCAGTCACGTAGCATACAAAAAAAAAAAAACAGAAGCAGGCCAACAGAAAAAGAAAAAGTTACATGTGGGTATAGAAGCGAATATGATATGAAAGAGATGAGAGCATGAAGAAGACAACGCGCGACGAGTAAAACACATTCAAAGCGCGACACAAATAACAAATACAATCTGAGCAACAAAAAAGAGAAAAAGTGCTTCAAAAAAAAGCCGGAACGACACAAATGAATGGACCTCAACACTCGTACGCTGCCAAGCTGCATACATACATACATGTGCACACATATTCATACAAAACATACGCATACACTTGAAACACCACCACCACAAGCACAACATACACATAACGTAGCTTCAACATCTAAACCCAACTGTAAAACAACAAAAAGCGCAGGTAAGTAGGTAATAAACAGAAGAAGTAACTAAACGAACGGTACCTAAAAGTTCCTTACGAAGAACAAATTGTTTGTGTATACGAAAGTTGTGCCTGCATCTATTGTGTGTGCGTGCATGTATATATATGCGAGACATTTTTTTCTGCTGCCATTAAACCAGTGAATGTGCGTGTGTGTGGGTGTCTCTCTATCTCTCTTGATATGTGATTCCGTTTTGATTTGCTTTTACTGTTGCTTTTTGTTTATGTTTGTAATATGTCGACAATTAGCTTGCACTTTTGTTTAAATACAAATACAAAAAAAAAACTTGACATCTACGCATTTGTTTATGTGAGCAAGCAGAACAGAAACGAATAAGAGAAAAGCTCTCACTCGCGCGTTCTTGAGTGTGGCCAGTTCTGCCAAACGGTGTTGCTGCATTCAGCTTGTTTTTCGTTCCGCTGAGATCAGCTTATTTTGCCCTCGTGTTTCGTTTATTCAACACACTATTTTTTAAATAAAACTAAAGTTAGCTTATTATATGACTGTCATAGAATTCTGTGTATTGAATTCAATCCCATGAGCATTTCAAAATAAGTAATTTAATTTTTAGCTGTTTATCCAGCTATGTTTTCATAGTTTGCTAGCTTTTTTTTAGTCTTTTCAAAAAGTGCATCACTAACAGTATTTACTTGTTCTAGGAACACTCATTTTTTGTTTGTTTATATCGTTTTTGTTAGCTTCTAATAACTTATCTCTGTTAAAAAAAAAAAAACAAACAATTCCATTGCGACAAAGAAATATTTATGAATCCCATGTTAAAATCTGCCGGAAGCTTTCATCTAAATAATATATGATTTAATTTTTGGAATTTTTGAATTTTAATGTATATTATTAAAATCAATTTAAAAAATAAAAATAATTGCATTAACCTATTATTACTTTTGAAGCATTCAACTTTTTATTTAATTTAAAGATTTTTAACCATTTTATAATATATTTTTACAAATATCTAATTTGCAGCATTTTAATATTGCGCTAACGGGCAAGAAATATAATTCCATTTATTGCTAACGGAGCAACAGCAACCGACACGTCAACAACAACAATTGCAACATCAACTTAATTATTAAGTTAATCAAAAAAACCAGCTAAATTATAAGACTAGTTAGGTGAGTACACCATAATCCTCACTAGATTAGCCTAATTACATTTGAAATATCTTGCAGTAATTAAATATATATATATATATACATAAGCAACACCATGTGGAATTCCGAACCAACACAACGTCAGCAGCAGCAGCAACAACAACACAATGGAAATTCTACCTCGGGCAGCGGCCAGCCTGCCAAACAATTGGGCATTACATCAGCGATTAGCCTGGCCGAGCCGCGTGCTGAGGATTTACAAAGGACCGAAGAGCTAAGCAAATCCTTGGAGCCGTACAATGTCTTCGAGAGCCAGGACGAACTGAATCATCGTATGGAAATCTTAGCGAAATTAAATACGTTGGTCAAACAATGGGTGAAGGATATATCCGTTAGCAAAAATATGCCCGAAGCTGCAGCCGAGAAGTTGGGCGGCAAAATTTACACCTTTGGTTCATATAGATTGGGTGTGCATCATAAAGGGGCGGATATTGATGCTTTGTGCGTGGCACCACGAAATATCGAACGTACAGATTATTTTCAGAGTTTCTTCGAGATCCTGAAGAAACAACCAGAGGTCACGGAATGTCGCTCTGTCGAGGAGGCATTTGTGCCTGTAATAAAAATGAATTTTGATGGCATTGAAATTGATTTGCTATTCGCACGACTTTCCCTGAAGGAGATACCAGATGACTTTGATTTACGCGACGATAATCTGTTGAAGAACTTGGATCCACGTTCGGTGCGCAGCTTGAATGGTTGTCGTGTAACTGATGAAATACTTGCCCTAGTGCCCAACATTGAAAACTTTCGCCTAGCATTACGCGCTATCAAATTGTGGGCAAAGAGTGAGAGCAACTTAAGCATGAATTGTTTAAACAAATAGCTTATATATTTTTTTTTGTTTGTTTGTAGAGCATGGCATCTATTCGAATTCGCTGGGCTATTTTGGAGGTGTCACCTGGGCAATGTTAGTGGCACGCACATGTCAGTTGTATCCAAATGCAGCTGCTGCAACGCTGGTGCACAAATTCTTTTTGGTATTTTCACGCTGGAAGTGGCCCAATCCTGTTTTGCTAAAACATCTAGATAATGTTAATCTACGATTTCAGGTATATAGCAAAAATAAATTTCTAATTATCTCAAATATAACATATATTATTAATCGTATAAATCTATTTGTTTAGGTCTGGGATCCGCGGGTCAATGCCTCGGATCGTTATCATTTAATGCCAATTATAACGCCCGCTTATCCACAACAAAACTCCACATTCAATGTATCGGAGTCTACTAAGAAGGTCATATTGACCGAATTTAATCGCGGCATGAGCATTACGGATGAGATAATGCTTGGCCGAGTTGGCTGGGATCGCCTGTTCGAGGCACCCAGTTTCTTTTACAGATATCGTCATTTTATTGTTCTGCTCGTCAACTCTCAGACAGCCGACGATCATTTGGAATGGTGTGGTCTAGTTGAGTCAAAAGTCCGCCTGCTAATTGGCAATTTGGAAAGGATTCCACATATTGTCTTGGCTCATGTGAATCCCAAATGTTTCGAGCTGAAAAAGGGCGCCGCTAGTGCTAATAATTCGCAAAACAACAGTGGCAATGAGGAGGAATTAAAGCAGCAACAGCAGCCGGCACAATCAGCCATAACTACAGCGCCCTATTGTTCGCTCTGGTTTATTGGGCTAGAGTTTGAGCGCTCGGAGAACCTCAACATTGACCTCACCGAGAGCATACAAAACTTCACCGAGCACGTGAATATGCATGGCGTAAGTAGGAGATCGTAAAGAGATTATCTATGTTGTTAATCATAAATCCAATTGCAGGTAAACATAAAGATGTTGAAGGAGGGCATGTCCATTATAGCGCGCCATGTAAAACGCAAACAGCTGTCGGTCTACCTGGATGCCGATTTTCTTAAACGGGAACGCAAATCCATGGAAAATCACAATAATTTCAATAACACGATGATGGCCAAACGCAAGCGTCTCTCGTCAGAGCTGGCGCAGTCGCAAGAGACGCTGCCACCTGCAAATCCACGGGGACGCGACAGCGGCAATAAGGTGCAAAGATTAAGTGAATCGGTAAATAGCTTTATATATGGCTATTGCTATATATAAATGTATATTAAATGGAATTTTTTACAATTTTTCAATAGTTGGCTGAGGACAATTCGAATGCCTCCAGTGAATTGGGCGGCTTAACGCCCACGACGCCCACAGCAGCGCAAATGAGTGCACCCAATTTCAAGGCAGCCGCTAAGAATGGCTCCGATAGCAGCTGCTTGGACAGCACAACAGAGCAGGCAGCTAATGGCAATAGCAGCAGCAGCAGCAACAACAATAATAACAGCAGCAGCGCAACGACAGCTGAAGTGGCCTGCTCGTGACAACCGCCGATGCCACAAGCACATCAGCAGCAACAGCAACATATACAGCAGCAACAGCAACAACCATTGCAGCATCATCATCATAAATTTCGCAAAAACAACAATGCGGCCGCGGCGGCTGCTTCCAATAGCATTTTTAATCAGCGTTCTATACTGCATGCGGCTTCGAGTCTTACGGCTGCTCTAAGCATAACCGGACACAAGCGCAAGCAGCCAGCAGCAGCAACAACAACATCAGCATCAGCAGCTTGTGGAGCAACCAGTGTTGGCAATAAAAACGGCGGCAACAACACAAACTACAGTTACTTTATAGATGACGATGATGACAACAACCAACAGCAACCACCTATGCAAAAACCACAAAACAAGCAACACCCACATCAACAACAGCAACAATCAGCTGCTGCCAGAGCCTTGCCAGATGCAGCAGCAACAACAACAGCAACAGCAACTGCAGCAGCTGCCGCAACTGCGGCATCGACAATTTCTTGTAAGTTATTGAATATTGACTATCTATCTCCTTTTTCCTATCCCCATCGAGTTATACGTATTTTATTCAAAACTGTTTTATTTTAATGTGCATATAGCTGAGCATAAACAATAATGTTGGTTCTCAAATGTTGGCTTATAAAACTGTACTTTACTGGACTTTAAAAGATTAAATCTATATCTCACTAAAATATATATCTCAAAAGAAATTTCTTACAAACTATGTTTAAGAACAATTTCTTGAACTGAATCTTATAACTTATATAACGATTTGATTTTAAAAATAAAAATTTAATTTAAAACAATAAAATATATTTTTAATTATGTATTTCAAAAGAAAATCGTAAAATCATAAAAATAATTAATTTATAAACATTGAAATATGTTTTAAAAGAGAATTACAAATTTTATGTATTAAATTTAAAGAAATTTCTAAATTTATGATTTATAAATATAATTTATAAAGTATTTCAAATAACTTTTGGCGTTAAAAGTTGAGTGACAATAATTATTATAAATTAATATATTAATTTAAAAAAGACTTAAAAAAATAAATTTAAATTATAAAATATTTTGGAAAATGAAAGTTTTTTATAATTGTAATATTTAAAATTATAAAATATTTAGTTACTTTTTTAATTCTTAAGTTTTTTTGGACAAATTTTTAATAAATATGTGAAATTTGTGTTCTTAGTATTAAAATAAATATGTATTATTTGATATTCGTTAAATATACTTAACTCTTAGTACATATTGCTTTAAGCTTAAGAAAACTTTACTTTTCAATTAAAACTGACTAATTTGTAACTTTTCTATTTACAGTGTAAAAAGCTAATACATGTACCATTAAGGCTTAGTTTTTCATAGTTAACCCATTGATTTCCTTTTGGCATTTTGATGCCAACAAACATAATGGAAGCCCATATATTTTATACAAAACGGTGAGTTTTTAAGCAGACGAACTGGACGAAGAAACTCTAAATAATAATATATTTCTTTTATTTATTTTCTAGGTTTCCATTTTAAAGCTGCAGAGTTTTGTTTTTACTTTTAGTCTCCAGCGCAAAGTGCGTTGGGCATATACATACCATTGAAAACGGACAACTATAACAACAACAACAACCAGAACAACAAAGCGGCCTGAAACAAACAATTCGCTAAACATTTTGTCTTAAGGTTTTCTCCCCAATAATATTTGTTGTACGTCTTTTTTACTTCCCACAGCTGGTATTAAGGAGTGCCTAGAGTGCGGGAGAAGTAAAGAGTGTGTAAGAAAGAGAGAGAAGGAGAGTGAATAACAACAACAACAACAACACGAATCACTGAAACAAGACAACAACAAGAACAACATGAACTGCAAACAAGAACAGAATCTAGTTATGAATTTTAGAATTTACTGTTCTATTCTATTTGCCCTATTTTCTTTCTGATTTTCCAATTTTCATCTGGTTTTATTTCAATCTTTGTTTTCTTCTTCTTCTAGTTGTACGCTGAAAATTTGAAACAATTATGTTCGTTTTTCTAAGAAAAGATAACTGAAAAAAGGTAATAACAAAAAAATATATAATTGAAATGAAGATATTGATTTAATTTTACCAAATAAACAAAAAAACATAAAAAATAAAAAAAAATACAAGGCGAAAGCTCAAAAAAAAATAGAATTTGTTTTTATTTGGTTGGATGGAATTTGCTTGCAGGTTTATATATTAGAAGAGCTGGAATATATTTCTGGATATATACTACAGATATAGTTAATCCATATTCAAATTGGAATCAATATTGAATATTATATAGTATTAGTTTTATAACTAATGGATCGATCATATTAATTATAATTGAAAATTGTCTTAGCTTAAATTTTCATAAAGTAGAAAGAGAAATCTAAAATTAAATATAGTTTTTTTGATTTGTGGCATTGCCAGTGGGCGAGGGCATATTATTTTTAATCAATCTAATGAAAGAATATAATGAGAAAACTCAATTAAGTTGAATAGTAATACAGTTTCTAACTGTTAAGCTTTCAGCTATGCTGCTAGTAGGCGTGCATATACCATATTCAGTCTGGTTAACCTGGAAATAAGGTCAAATGTTTGCTACTTAGGTTTATGGCACGCCAAACGAATTATTGGCAAATCAATATAAAAACTTGAACTTCCACAGTTTAAAAAATCAGCTCTACGGATGGATCTATAAAACATTTGGCCTACCCATCGGGTGCTACTTGTCGATTGATTGCTTTTATCAGTGAAGCTGTTGGACCAAAAGCTAACTTCTTTAATTCGAACATATATTTAAAGCCCGATAACTCATATAAGGAATTTTTTTCTAATGAGTGATTTGCCTATGAAGGATGAAGAGATGATAATTGTAGTTGAAATTATATATTGTACTTCATAAAAATAATAAATTTGGAAAAACAAAAAGTAATTCTAAAACTTAATAAAGAATAAGCATTAGCGTGCCAGCTAAACATTATTTTGAACTTCAGATCCTCAAGGACTAGGCTAGACTAGACTATACTATGAATTTCGGCAGTAAGCATCCGCTCGCCTAAAAGATTTTCTCTCAATTATTGAACACTTAAGAAGTTAAATATATATTAAGTAAGCCCAACATATACTAGAAGTGGAATTCAAATTAAATAAAAGTTAATATTAAAAAATAAAATACAACTTGTTAGATTTTAAAGAAATTTATTTTTTTTTGTAATTTATTTAATAATTAGCCTAAATTTTACAACATATAATTGAATGCCGGACGCATAAAGTCGAAACTGTACCCAGTTCATTGAGATGAGCTGGCAAGTAAACAAGGGATATCAGAAATTAAAATATTTTACTTAAGAACATATATAAATCATCATGTATTTAACTATATATACAGCTATATGTATATAATTGATGACTAAAAGATGGTGGGAATGAAAATTAGTAATATTAAAAAGGGTCAGCTGATTGCTCACTTGTTGCTAGAGTCTTCCTGGATAGTTCAGAGTGACAATACCTAACTATAATAAGTGTGGTAATCTTCGGCATACAAAGTAATCGAAATGGGATCGTGAAAAATTCAAGAAAAGTTGTTAATTACTATATAATACTATGATGTCTCTGGTTGTAGTTTCTCTGTACTCTTTTTGAAGTACAGTTCCTGTCTAGAATTAGGGAGACACCAGAATGTCTTCGTAGAGCGATCCGCAAAGGTCAACTGATCGCGACAAACCAAAGAGAAGCTGACTCAATGTATTTATATGATCTTCAATATCCGTTTGATTTGCTTCTTTGTCAGACTCTTCATAGAGTACAGTTGCAGCAAGGACATGATGAAGGAGCTAAGCCCAGTAGCCGCTCGCTCTTTACGTACAGTCCAAACAAAAATCGAGCGGAAGGACGATCGGTGTGGGTTTTGGCTGAAATTGTAAAATGGAAGCAACTGTGCTTCGCGCTAACAGAGCAATTAACCAAGCGGCGAACGCTATGGACGAAATCCGGGATTCAGAATTCCAGATTCCGAATTCAGTATTTGGTATTTGGTATTCGGGACCTCATTGCACTTCTGCGAATTTATGCCGCGACACAGCTGCGCGTTTTTACCAAGAATGTGCGGGATTAATCCGTTTATGGCCACGGATTAAGTTGCAAAATTTCTACACGAAGGTCGAACTGCGAATTCCACGGAAAGCCTCGCTAAGCACAGGTAATTCCAGGTACCATCACCTAATCTTCACTCAGGTATGTCTTCGTCCTAAGGTATATAAGTTCAGGCAGAGCTCGTTTAGGACATCAGTTAACATTCAAGTGTCTGTCTGCAAGGATCGGAGTGGAGTGGGATATAAACCAAACAGAATATTATATGGTAAACTTTGTTCAGTTTTGCCAAGTTCCTTTTTGTGTGCATCACTGGGTGAAGTTTGTCGTATAATCGAAACGAAACAGCAAGGAACAAGTTAAGTCATTTGAATGGAACTCTCGTAGCTCTGCTTTTGGGATGCATTTTGTGCAGTTATGTCTAACGCTTGGAAACCCATCACTGGGCAAAGTGTGTCTCAAAATTGGGGCGACAAGCAAATGTTGCACTTCTAGTGTTTCACTTTCAGTGTTCCACTTCCAGTGTTTCACTTCCAGTGTTTCACTTCCAGTGTTTCACTTCCAGTGTTTCACTTCCAGTGTTTCACTTCCAGTGTTTCACTTCCAGTGTTTCACTTCCAGTGTTTCACTTCCAGTGTTTCACTTCCAGTGTTTCACTTCCAGTGTTTCACTTCCAGTGTTTCACTTCCAGTGTTTCACTTCCAGTGTGCCACTTTTATTGCGGAATTCAAAGTGTACCACTTCCATCGTTCCACTTCTAGTGTTCCACTTCTAGTGTTCCACTTCTAGTGTTCCACTTCCAGTGTTCCAGTTCCAATGGGAAATTCAAAATTTTAAAATTAAATGGCGATTGTCGGTATGGTCTCTTTTTCAACGTATACACCAATCATTCTATATAAAGTGACTAGACCGAACACTCGTGCTATAATTTTAGAATGTTCAACATATCAAACACAAATTTACAGTGCATAGTTCAAAGCCTAAAAGAAAATATATCTATAACGTATAGAGGTTGCAATTAGTTTCTTTGGTCGTCCAGCCTTAGGTGATTTCTCTGATCATAAAGCTAGACAACCATTGAAGTTCGTTGTGGCATAAGCAGCGGCTACCTAAGCTAAGTGTCAATCAAAAATTTATTCGAACTCGATCGATGGGCCATGCGCTAAAAGGAACGATCGTTGTGATATGCGTTAATTAACCGTTACATATCACAGTGATTTTCCTTTATAGCGCGTGCAGTCCGTAAGACTACAGTAAGCATGTGACTCCTTATGTATATCTAGCTGAATAGTTAAGTTAACTGTTTTTAGCCTTTAAAGTAGAGAGAATAGATGCTGTGAGTATATCTGTTGCATTTATATCACAGTGGCTGTTCTTTTTGTACCTAAATGGCCATACAACGTTCTTTTTCCGAATTGCAAATTACAAAGTGAAACACAGACAAAGAAAGTATTCGCCGACATCGCCTGAGATTGTGTTTAACCGCAGGGAACTGCTGCTGCTGATATACTATATATATGTGTCAGTACTCTATATCACAGTGGCTGTTCTTTTTGGTTGCATCGCAAATAGCCAACAATTTGTCTGTGAAATAAATCTATAATAGTTATCTTAAGTGTGTGATTTGTGCAGCTTCAAATCGTGTGTCCACAAATTGCTTAAAAAGAAGAGAACGTTCGCTGTTGATGTAGTCGAATTTCTTTTATCCGTATATCACAGTGGCTGTTCTTTTTTGTTTAGCAATTTTCCAGCGTTGAGAATCAAGCATAATGAATGATATAGTGGAGAGTGCCTGACTGAGAGTTGCCCTAACTGCTACGTCAGAGAAGGGTACTCAGTACATTTGAGTTACTTTATAAAATAAAAATGTTCATATAAATTTAAAAAGCCAAAAATTTTCACTATTTCTGAAATGTTTTATTTTTTAACTTTTTCTCGTAATCTGAAGCCATCCCGAAATGCGAAGTCCAAATGATATTAAATTTCATTTAACAGGCAGCAGAAAGCTTTGCAATTTTTACTTGAGATCACGAGCTGAGTCTATATATGCATATTCGTCCGTCTGCACGTCCGTAGCTCTTTAGTTATCTCTTTAATAATCTAAAAGCTTGCGGTTCAAAATGTATTTTCTTGTATAACTTTCTCTCTCACTATCTATAACTCCTAACTCATAACTAATATTTACTTAATTTGTGTTTTCAAGCATAACTTGAACAATGTAAGATACTAAACCAAGACACTATATCAAAATGCTACAGATTTAATATACTTAATATTTCAGATACTTTAACTATTTACTGGAAACAAAACAAAAAACTTATTTCAAATGATAAAGGCTTCGACATGAACACACATTTGCTGATATTTCATATGGTCAATAGTGTATATAACTGCATTTAACAAGCAATGCTATATATAGGTATTACAAATTTGCATAGGTCTTTAGAAGGGAGTAGCCAACTATGATATACCTTGACCTATCAAATATTTTAGCGTTTACTTTACTCTTATGTTTTGAAAAAGGTATTCAAAAGCTCTAATTATAGATCTGCTTATGCTAAGCATCAAAGACGGCTTAAATATATACAGAGTATATGGAAACATGAAATCATTCTAGCTTTTGCTGCTCGTCTTCAGTTAATAAACATTTTCGCACGGCACATTTAAGCATATTTGCAGCAATGTCTGTAATTTTTTCTAGTGCAAAATTTTATTCGCACTTCCGGCATTTAGTTTCCTTTTCCTATTCCTATTCCGTTGGCCAGACACGTGTAGCCATGTGGCATGTGGCAGGCAGCGGTGGCAGCAACAATGGCAGCCATTCTATGCACTTCGGTTGTGTGTGTGGGCGTGCAGGTAGCCTTGCTGTCAATGAATGTCATTTTACTTGAATACACGCCCCCGCATACTCGGCACACATTGTTGCAACAAAAGGAATTTCGAATTAAATAAGCTTTAAGAAGACAATGGAATTAAATCAATTATATATATATTAAGTTATTTTAGTTTCGGAGACTATATTGTTTTATATGTAAATTTATATTGTTTATATGTCAGTAAATGTTTTATTTTGTATTTATTTATTTGATTATTTATTTTGATTGAAAAATTTACTTTAAGAAGCTCAAATTGACAAACAAATTCAAATACTAATTAAATATTTAATAATTTCATATTATTAATTATTACAGTTAATAATAACTATGAGTGCTTATTACAACTGTAACATTTTTGCTTCAATTAAAACAAATGATTCTATTAATAATTTTATGATGCACATGCATTTTTTCTCATATTTAAAGCTAAACGCTCATCAAATCGCAAAACTAATATACAAAGCCCCTATAATAAATTTTATATTAAATATTTCTAAAATTTATTAGTTTTTTTTAAGACAGTCCCAAAATATTTGTTCCGATAGAAACTATAATATTTGTTCTCATAAGAAATAAAATATTATTTTTAATAAGAAATAACTATTAGGCCTATTTCTATTTTCATTTGAAAATTAAATAAGTACAGAATATAAATATAAAAAATATGTATTTATATTCTGTATAAAGGTTCTGTAGTATTAACATTACTTTTTTGTAGATTAAAATTTATTTAAATAATATAAAAAAATCAGTATTAAGCATATTTCTATTTTTATTTGAAAATGAAATAATTACTGAATATAAATATATATTTTTACATAGATTCTGTAGTATTTCCATTACTGTTTTGTTGATTAAAATAGGGCTTATGTACGATATATTGACATGATATTTTCCCACAAATATACACATAGTCAAGAGCATGCATATCTGAGAGCTAATATCCTGATACAACATTCATTCATCTGATAAATATTTCAAAATAATTCTGATGGGTTTTCTGGTATTTGTTCTGTACCGAAAAGAAATTTGATATTTTCTCTATACAACTTGACTGTTCCAATTTGCAGGCAATATAAATTTTAAACCTTTCATTTTCTTGTTTCTGCAGATTAGCTTACGCCACTTTGCTGACAAAGCGATACAAATAGTTTTCGACGCGAATCTTATGGCGTAGCTCCTTGCGTGAGGTGGTCTCGACGGCGGCGGTGGTGCCGTTGTGATCGTGGAAGAAGCCACAGTAGCGGGCGGGCACAAACTGTTTGATTTGCTGGCGCTTGCGATACCGATCGACGACGCTCAGGCTGCAGTTCTTGATGGTGGCCGTGTGCTCAGCCATGCACTTCCTGCACATGTCCTTGTCGCTGGCGAAGTTATGGAAGTAGTCGCCCTGCGTAGTCTCATGGCAAATTATGCACTGAGCATCATGTTTGGGGCCGCAAAAGACGGCGACAGCGGGCCAAATGACGCGACGGGTGCCGAAAGCAGTTTCTATCTTCCAGTACGGATACTTGGTGTGAATCGAATAGGTGGACGGACTGCATCACAGAGACACACATATCAGAGATGCTTACAGGATTAATATTAGTTTCTTACCCAGGTGTCATCCACTTGGGCGGTCTGGTCACCTGCCGGTCGAAGGTGTAGCCAGCGCGTAAGGCCCAAGGTGTGGGCTCATAGGTGCCCAATGGGGGAACGCTTTCCTCATGCACAACAGGCAGACGCGGCATCTTATTAGCCAATGCAGAAAAGCCAGCATTAGAGGGGTACTGCAAGTGGGGGAGTTTGGTGAGATTAGAATTAGTTATCTGCTTATAAAGAGTGAGATAGAGAGATAGAGAATACACAGTCGGCTGGTTTACCTTGAAGCCAATTGGCTTCGAGCAGTCATAATCAAGAGGACTGGGATGTGGCCGTACCTCCGGCTGGAAGGAACGCATGAAACTGGTCATACATGGACCAGAAATTGGCATTACATCGCGATGCATCGTTGTGCCAAAGGCCACTTTCGCTGCCACGGGCGGATTGAGCACATACTCAAAGCCTGCAAAAGACACGGAGAGGGAGAGAAAATGTTAATTCGATTTCCTTATGGAATAAGCCTTCATAGCCACCCAAGGCTAGACAGCGCGCCAAGATCATCCGTGACTCGGAGCGTTGGCGACGCAGCTGCTCCCGTTCCTGGGCAGTCGGCTGTTGTGCACGCATCGTGGCTTGCCTCTAGACTGAAATTGGCTGGGGCGCAAAATTGATGGCTGACTGGCAGCCAGGTAACGTGCTTTGACTGACAGAACGGCACGCATGGCACGCACCTGCTCTGCCCTGTCCTGCCCTGCCAATACCTCAATACTTATATCTCCAGCACCTGCTATCAATAATCATCATCATCAAAATCAATATGATAAACGCGAAGCCATTCGAATTCCTGCAGGCAGTCAGCCGGTCTAGACAGCGCTTTATTTTGCTCAACTTTGACCCAGTTTTAGTCTTTTAATAACATTCTATGTGGCATATACTTGCTAAGTGGGTCAAAATGTTGACTTTGATTTTGATTTTTAATGCCAAATATTATGAAATTGATATCTTTATGAAGTTGTATGAAGATACAATTGAAATGTTATAATAAAACGAGATGTCTAGCCAGCAATTGATGGATTAATCTCCATATTATAGTAGACTGTTCAGATAGTGAGGCTATATACGAAGAAGCCTATATACATATATCTAAATTAAAACAAAAGTTTTTCGATTGGTATTCTGAAAAAAGAAAGAATTTCTGAGTATTCCAATCCGAAATAATTTCTTTTTAAAAATATTAGCAATAAATTTTAATTAATTATAAATACACAGATAGCTGCATAAATGTCAAGTCTATGATAACTCAGGAACGAAAAAATCCAGTCATACAATTTGGTATGCAGTTGCTTTTAAGCCATATTAAATACATAGATTCTATATACAAAATGGCCTACTCACCCTCCATCGCAAACACTTAAAAATTGTTCAATATATATACGTTTTACTATCTATTCACTGGCTGAAAAACAAGTACTTAAAATTTATGCAAAGAACATTTAAAACACGACGTTGTGACTCCGACTACGATAATAAAATACAAAATCAACAAATTGTGCCAAATGACAGGCAAGTCGTTGACATATATGCAAAGAGAATGGAAATAAAAGCTGCCAAAAAATTGTTGAAAAATAGTTGAGCAAACATGGGAAATTGTGGCATGCAACAGGCACAGTCAGATAGCAAAATAATGCGTTGCATTTAAATTCAAATGCCGAGTAGTCGGATATACGAGCCTAAGATACACAAGCAAACTTTTAAATGGCTTTTCGAGCAATTTTCCAAGTGGGCTGGCCGAATAATTTTGCGTGTTGGCTGGGTGGGGGAGTTCTTGCAGCAACCGCAAAGTGTGCACCTACAAAATGGCAGAATGGCTGCATGACATTAATGCCAGTTAACCCCAAACGTTGTCCTCGTCGTCAGCTGCAGCCATGGCTTTGGCTTTACCGTTAGCTTTTTCGGCAGCCAACCAGCCTTCTGGCAGCCATCCCTCTCTTCCTTTGCACCCATCCCATTTGGGCCGACGCTCACGCACATGAATGCTAATGGAGGTGACAACGGGAGAGGGAGAGAGACAGAGCGACAAGCAGCAAGCAGCAAGGCAGCAGGCAGCACGCAGCATTGCACAACCACAGAAGCTATGTAATGGTCCCCTTACCATACACACTGCGCCCACCCACGCACAGTAACCGCACAGTGCTCAAAATGTTAACCTGCACAATTATTTAAAGAGTATTGAGTAGTTTACTTTCATGATTTATTATATTGGAAAACTCATTAAAAGCGTGGCAACGATAATTAAGCACGGATCAGCGAGCTGGCTGAATGCGGCCAGTGTGGATGGCGTTTGAGCGTGACAGATAATTAATTTGTTTACGCTTTGGCCGTTGATGCAATTGTTTCAGTTATGTTCCTTGCACAAAGAGCGACCCTCATATGACCGAAAAAAATAAAACAATTTCATTTACCATGCATTTGATCCTTTTGTTTTAATCGGTTATTCTCACATTCTATAGCTACTTACTTTCTCTGGGCGACTATTGTCTGAGCAAGAGAGCAAGTTCATATGTATGTTCGCTGCATTTTTATACTCATTGCTTTTCTGCCTTTCATCCCGTTATATTGATCGTAGATTCTTTCGTTATATTTGTTCTACGACAGAGAGAGAGTGAGCTTCAATTTCACTCTTAGTTACGATTGTATTAGTGTTTTTGTCTCCCTGGAGTTAGATAATTGCCTGTAGTCTGTAAGCGTCCGTCTCCTTTGTTGGAGGTATTCGCGCTTGTTGTTTTGTTTTTATACAATTAAGCAATTTTGTTAATTGACTATGCATGTTATTATTGTGCCAACTAAAAGAAATCTTTTGATCGATTTACGATCGTGCGAATATGTTTCTAAAATAATATTAACAAAATTTGGGTTGTTTAGTTTTGGCAGTATTATTTTTTGACACTGCTGGATACACAACTGCAACCGCCTGCAACTTAATGTGCGAGCGAGAAAAAAATGCACGGACTTACTGCATTCCAATTTTGAGTAATGTTGCTTTAGATTCCGATTAACAAATCAGCTGTAGCTTTATTAGATAAGTGTTGTGCTTTGGCCAGCGTGTATCTGTTTTCAATCGCGTTTGTGCAATGCTAAAAAATGACTTTTTTTGAGTGTACAGTTGTTTGTTGTTCTTCTGCATTCTGCAAATGCATTCAATTTACTATTGTTTAAGTTTTGCACAGTTTGCAATTCGAAATGTTTTATGTATAAACAAAATATTGACAACTATTTGAGTTTAAGCCACACTTGTCAGCTGTGTGGACTACGAGAATGTGGATTCTATTTGTGGATTACAACAGAGAGCTTTCAAATGATCGTGGATTATGAGAGAGTGAAAAGAGCTTCGCAAAGCACCATGTAGCAAAGGAGGTGAGTCTAAAATATTTAAAATCTATGAAAGTTTCATTACTATTGTTGAACAGTTGGTACCACTGTGCGGAGGCAGAGTGATGCAAGCTGTTTAATTCGTGCAAATAAAATGATTGTGCAACATATGTAACTGGTTGCGCTTGTGGCTCTATTATTCCAAGTACAGTCCTTGCAGCTGCTCAAGCAGCTGCTTCGACTAGTCCTCAAAACCCAACCCGAAACCCCAAACCCCAACCCTAATTTGACCTCCTCCGGCCCCTCTTCAGATAGCCGCAGAACTTGCAGTGCAATTAAATTGTAATTTCACATTATTTAAGTGTTTTGCTGTGTTACAATTCGGTTGGCAACATTTTCGGCAACGTCTCTGAACGTTTGTTTATTATGTCAACAATTAGTGTAATGCAAATTAAACTGCTGCCATTTGTCATAATAATTTATACATAATGAAAAGCTTGGATAGCAAATTATTGTTACGGTAATGCGCTTTAGATGAAAAATAACTGGGCAAACTGTAGAAAATAATTTAGTTGCAGCGCAAAATATTTAGTGTTTAGTTTGCAAATTTAGTCAAGCGTAAAGTTTCTTAGTTTTAGTTATTTCTTAATATGTATATTAATATTATTATTTTTATTTTATTTGAGTATTTGAAAAAATTACTTGGAAAATATTAGAATATTTTCTGTTTTATCTCTATTCTCTTTTCCCTTCTTAGATCTGAAGGCTTTAATTTCTGCTTGTCATATTTTATTAAATTTTTAAATTGAAATAAACTGTTACGAATTTAAGATGTATTTTGTAATAAATATGCTATTTCTTCATTTCAATTTTAATCACTAAATACTTTTACCAGATCCATTTCCAAGTTCTGTTGGAGATCTCTTTGTGAATTGCCCAAATATTTTCTGTTTACTATAAAAAACATTAAATTTCGGACCATCGTAAAGTAATACCCATTCGTTCAGCTTCGTTTTCCACACTCTTTAGGAGTAAACAGAACTCAAATATTCAAATCAGTTTTAGAGGGTATAGCACATAAAACTTCATGCAAGCAAGTGGCATGTCCTACACAAGCAATTACAACAACAATGGGCGTGCAAATAAAAATGCAGAGGACTTCAGTTGTGTGGCTTTTCAATTTCGGCCAGAACAACATGGCCATGGACATGCTAGCAACGAAAAAGTGGCCATAAACGTGCAATTCACATGCAAAGCACAAAAACTTCACTTCGAAAGCTACACTGGATGGGCGGAAGTGCCAAGCAGCATCCTTCCAGCAGCAGCAACAGCAGCAGTAGCAGCAGGAGCAGCACCAAGGACATCATTGTAGTTGCTGTTGTTACTCGCTTCTGCCTTGTGGCTAAAACGCAAAATTTGCCTCACAATAAAAACAAAAAACAATGACAAAGCTCACAAAACAGTTTAAGTCTATTTTGGGCAGGAAGTGCCGCTTATTACGCAGGATGTGGTTAACCGGAAATGAAACGAAATAAGCCAACTGCGACGCTCTCGTTCACCTCGCTTCTCTGAGTCTGCCAAAGTCTGTGTATGCTTGGGTATGTGTGTGTATGAATGTATGTGTGTCTGTGTGTATGGAGTGCATAGAAAACTAATTAAACATGCGCTTTAAGCTTATCGACTTTTCCATTGAATTTCGCAATGCACTTTCGGCATCTAAATTCTTAATTACACTGTGCAACAAGTTTTTAATAAGATGCATATATGTATGTTACTTGGCTCAATTAATTAATTATCTATTTCTACTTAAATCCAATAATATGACAAGTGCTTAAATTTTTTTCGAAATTAGAAGTTATCTTTAACTGTATGAGACATATATGTTATATATATTTCCCATGATTATATATATATATCTATTTCATGTTATTTATTATTTTTGTCGAATATATTAAAAAAAACTAATAATAATTTTTAATAATAAATAAAACTATTAAAAAGTAAATAAAATTTATTTAAATTCTATTTAATTTCTGTTAAATAAATTAAAATAAAAAATATATTCATTTATATATTTATAAATATATATTATAAACAAATAAATTGGTTTGACTTTTATACCTAATTTCTTAAAAATATGTATTTTTCAAACTTGTTGCACAGTGTAATCTTGTAATCTAATGCTTTATGGAGCAAGCACAAACAAACAAACAGCAGCTGCAGCAGCAGTAGCAGCAGCATCAGCTGAACGACGAGGTCGTTGAAATCAAATTACAAGATGCTTCTGCCATTTGCTTCATGCACTCAAACAGCTAACGCCACGCCCCGCGCCCCCGTTTTTCCTCTTTGAGTGACCCAAATGCAATGCGTCTGCAATTTGCCAGTGTGTGTGCGTGTGTATGTGTGTGGCATTGCAGGGCAGCTAATCATGCTAATAAACACCAAGTTGCAATTGCAAACGGGCAATGGGCAATGGGCAATGGGCAACGGGCCACGGGCCACTGCCACAAAAAGCATTGCACACTTACAGGCGACCATTCGTGGCATTCGTTTGCATTCAATGTGCCACGCTGCTGCTGCTGGCAGTGCTGCAGTAAGTTTTTGCTGCAAATCATACAAAATTGCATTGATTATGCATTTGGCAGTCAATTGTGACTTTGGCCATTGCCATTACCAATTGAGCGCCATTTCGAGTGCACCATTAAAAGTCGAACCGTATTTCGACAGCCAATATAAATAACATAACTAAAACGAGCACGTAAGTGTGTGTGTGGCTTGACTGGGCGATACCCTGAATGAAAAACTGAAATCCGAAATATTTAAATTTATCATGGGGCATAATGAGATCTCTAAGCTGGAGCAGATTATCGATTAGCAATGAGATGAGTTATTGAAAATAATAGTTTGATCTGACATACCTAAAATTTCTACAATTTCAAGCAGACAGACGTATAGACGGATATGGCTAGATTGACTCAGCTCATGGTCCGTCTGCATGTTACAAATATTTTCACAAAAATATTATACACTGAGCTCCCAGTTTCAATGGATCCAGGGTATACAAATGTATCCCTTATTGAAGTATGATAAATGTATCTTTATGTAAAAATCATTTAAATTATTAAAATGTATACAAATAGCTCTTCGTCCCATATACTTAATATC